TTACTGGGGTCTTGTTCTTTTACTGATGCAATTAAAACTGTGGAGGCAATTCACAGCATTCACCCACACTGAAGCAACTTAATTGAATGCGTCTCCTAAAGAGGTCTTAATGCTCTGTTTGCATAAAGGACAATTAACCCCATAAATCATGAGGAATTATAAAAAAAGCTGTTTTAATAAAGTGATTTATGGTTGTTGGAGGAAAAATATTTAAAAAAGATTAAATGTTTGGATTTTTGGGGACAACTTGAGCAAGCTGTGCCCTGTGGAGAGGTTTTATTTGCCAGGGTTTTTGGAGGGATAGGGGCTGTTTTTTTGTGTGGGAGTGCAGGGGGGGTAACAGAAGCGCAATCCCTCCCCTACCCTACCCTCTTTCTCTCCCCTCCTCCCTCCTCCTGCTCCCCCTGGCCGGCCGCTCTCAGACCATTGTTGTTGTGACTGCCGTCCGGAGCGCAGCAGAGTGCTGTAGGAGGGCTGGTGTGTGCAGGACGCAGTCTCTCTCTCATCCCTCCTCTCTCTCTCTCTCACTGTGCTGTAGACAGACTGAGGAGGCTGAGCTCCACATTTCTCGGCAGATCTCACCGGATAAACTCACAGCCTGGAGAGGAGAAGCGCTGCGTAAAGACGCGCGCGAAGAGTTCACGTTTTACGCGTCTTTATTTCTTTATTCTGGGATCTTTTTCCAACATTTTCAAAGCAAGAAAGGACTTTTTTTTGCTTTGGGTTTCTCTCCCTGCATGGATTTAGAGCTCTGAGCGGACTTTGCCCAGCGGATCCACAGCTCCTTCCTCCGCTCACGGCAGCTGTCGTTCACGTATGTTCCGGGCTCTCTTTCTTTTGATGGATTTATAAGCTCCTGGAGAAGGATACACAAGGAGAGCTCCAAATGAGGATTTCAATATTGAGTCGTATCGACCGGGACCAGGAGTGATCTCTCTCTCTCTCTCTGACTGGTGCCAGTCAGCGCTGCTGAGCGGACGGACCGAGAGGAAAGGTGGGTGAATACAGACGGAGACAGCTGGAAGGTCTCGGAGGGTTGTTGTTTCATTCATTTTCAGCTGCGGGAGTTGAGTTGCGGAGGGCGGCTTCGATTACCAGCAAAATATCCTTAAAAGTAACCTCATATTCAGCTCCCTAAAGCCTGAAACCTTCCCCGTTACTGAGCGTACAGTTATTAAACTGGGGGTCTGTTTCTCCTCTTACAGCATCGAACCGGTGAATTAAAAGCAGGTTTTGTAAATTTCAATCAGGAGTTTCGGGAGAGAAACGTTTAACTTGTGTTTTGCAACCCGCTCAGAGTCTCTCATTAGACATTGAACCTTCCACACGGACTATTTGTCAGGAGAAAAGTCTGTTTGTGTCGCTCTGAGCGGAGTTTGAACTCAAAATCACAGATTAATCCCCACATTCAGCTGCACGACCCGGTGCAGTACAGCTCATTTAATCCAACTTTTATTAGTTATTTATTGCATTGATTTTGATTTATGGATGAGTTATTGATCTACAGCACGCGTGCAAACACCAACAGGAGCTGCATTAATGTGAACCAACCTCAGTCCAACCTGCGAGGGCAGTCGGGGGCTTTAACAGCGCGCTCGGCTGCTTTATTAAGTGTGATTTTATGTGTCAGAAATATGCAGCACATCCGAAATAAAAGCCCCCACAGTGACCGAGGGGCAGGATACACTGGGAGTCTTTTGGCTCCGGCTGAACAGCAGCAGGGCAGCGTGCCAGCGGAATTAGCAGCAGCAGCAGGAGAAAAAAGTTTTCCAGTCCTTAATTGAGAAAGAATACGTTTCATTCAGCGAGCTGGTGCTTTAAACGGTGTGTGTGTGTGTGTGTGTGTGTGGGCGCGGTCTGCATGAGTGGAGCGCACGCACCGGAGTCTGGCGCCTGTGCGCAGTTGGCCCCAGAAAAATCAGCGCATTATTCCTTTAGTGTTTACAGTTTGTGTGCAGAATGAGGCATTGTGCTGCTTCAGTTGGATGTACAAATATCTTCATAGTAACATTTTTAAAAATAATAAAAGTAGGAGAATATTTCAGGTCCAGGTGATATTGAGGGATTTGACATTTTTCCTTAAATCATGAAACTTTATTGAGGGTAAAGTTCTTTAAATCAGAGGTTTTTGGACCAACGGGGGTCCTTGGGTGTGTTGATGAGGGTCCCCGGGAAAAGGAGGAGCAGAATATTTGAACTTTTATCACATTTTAAACTGGAACAATGAGGAGAGAAACTGTGTCTCAGAGGAGATTCCTTAAGAAAAAATCTCAAATTGGAGGTCTGTGGGCTAACTGTTGGGGGTCTTTGACATTAAAAGGTTTTGTAACTGCAGCTTTATATAAAACTGAGCAGTCAGACACACTTGTTTATGTTTAAAAAGAGTTAAATGAGCTGAAACAATCAGAAAAAGACAAACATAGATCCTCAATCCTGGTTCTAACTTTATAATTGTGAGAATTTGCTGCTTTTTCTTCTGTGTTAATATACTGAGTGTTGGACTGTTGGAGAGGCAATATTAGACATTTAAATCAAGAATATAACAAACAATATTGAGAATTATCCCCAAAGATCCCAATCAGTCCTCAGTTTTACTCCATAGATGAAGTTTAGAGTTGTTCTTTGGTATAAATTTAAGCTGCGGCGGCGCTCTGATGTTCTCCTCCCGAACCTGAAGCCTCCTCAGCTGCTGACTGGGCGACTCTCCTTCAGATTCTGTAGCTTCCTGGCAAGTTTCAAGTGTTTTTCTAGCGAGGGCCCATTATCCCGGGCGCTGAGCGGGCGCCGTCCATTGACAAACAACAGGCGGTAACAGCCCTGCTCCTTATTCATGACGCAGAAGAGCCTGGACAATGTGAGGCGGACGAGTGGGACAGTTAACAGGACATCTGGTTAAGAATACAGCTGCTCGCGGTCCAAACAGGCTCTTTAACCGTCTGTCTCTTTTTCTTTTGTGCACCTGGTTTGAACCTGAACAGAGACATTTGTGTCAGATCTCCTTCTAGACTCCAGTTTCTGATCCAGAGATAACGGTCTCTCTCTCTGTTTGGCTCCACAGGATCCAGATTTAGAGACTTTGTGGGTATCTGGAGCTTCCGATGCCAGCGACTGGAGTGTGAGGCCAATCTCAGGCTTCAGACGTATTTATTTCTGCCTTTCAACCACAAGACACACGCATGAGAAGATGGCGAGGGTCTGCACGTTCTGCGTTGTCCTGCTCTGTCTGATGGACGGAGCCTTGGCCAGAGCCATCGACGAAGGACGGACCAAAGGTAAGACCTGGATGATGACTTCTTACGTCAGTGTCGGGATGTGTGAGGCCAGATGGATGCTGGATTGTTTCACCTCTTCATTCGCCCCAGAGCAGTTTATTAAAGACCTTATTTAGTATTTTTTGTCTAGTTTGTCTGCCAAACTTTACAAGAGAAGCAGTGGTTTTTAAGGTGGAACTGCTTTATTCTGTGTTTGTAGTGGTTAAAAATAATAATAATTCTCCCATGATCCCTAGCTGCTAACACATTATCAAACCTCGTCTCTTTGTAATGGTTTTGATGTGAGAGTGGCAGAAATTACATATTGTACGTTTACTATCAGACTGGATCAAAGTTCTGAATCCAACAGCACCAAATATTTGATGTAACTACTTGTAGATTTGGAGATACGGCTCAGCTAGTTCATTAAGTGCTGTAAGGGAATTATAAAATCACTTTGTGGAGGTTTCAACCCTTTCCTTTTATTAGAAAGTGTTTGTTTCTTGGCGACCGCTGCGGAGGAAGCCAAGGTGACAGGAAAAGTGACAGAGAGTCTGTAGTCGAGTCTAGGAGTGAGTGAGGAAAGAAGAGGGGTAAAGGCTCTCAGTGTTTTTGCTGCTGTAAACTGCGCTACCTGATCCGTCCGAGGCCCCGAGGCTCGGAAGTGTAAATCTGCCTGGCTGCGTGCCAGCTGTAGAGGATGAAGAGCGGAGGAGGAGGGGCTGCAGGGGGGCTTTTTCATTCATGCTTTGCAAACAGAAGCCGATGCAATAAGTCAGCCATTGTCGGGTTTTAAGTTCCTTTAAATGTTTCCATTGAGTCGAGGTGTAATCAGCGTAATTGCTCAACGCAAACTCTCTTCAGACGGAGGGTTTTAATAAAGATGGTAGTGTGCAGATTGATGAGTGCAGACGTTGTCTCTTTCCGTCTCTGTGGTCAGGTGAGGCCCGTCGGGGGGGCTCGCTGTTTAGACAATGTGCAAGAAAGAGGAAGGGCGAGCAAAGAGGTCGAAGGAGTTTTAAGGATTTTAATATGGAAACTTTTTTTGTGAAAAAAAGAAAAAATATATCAGACACACACACACATACTGTATATGTATGTGTATATGTCATAATTCATGCCTGGGGGTTATTTAACAGGCAGCTGTGGAGGCAACATTTCAACTTTTATCTCCACAAAACAACTCAATTCAAATCCACTTTTATGAGCCAAAGTCATAAAAACTAAGCTTCCTTGTAACAACTTTATTGTTCCCAGTAGAACATATTATAAAGTAAGTCAGAAAGTTCAGTAAACAAGTAATTGTGAAACATTACAGCAGAGAAATTGGCATAAATTATTCAAATTATTGGTGGTTTTTTTTACTCTGTGTGGGTCGTAGGGTTGTGTATCTGACACCAACATGAGCATAAAATCTGAGTAAAACAAGTTTAGTGGGATCTGTATTTATCACCGTCCCTGTAACATCAACCACAGCCTCCAGTTTACATTTCCAACACGGCTGTCTATCAGTTTCACAATCCTCGATAACTGAGCGGAGACGGAGACATGGCGTCTAAAAGAAACAGATAAACTCCCCCATTGATGTCACTGAAAGGGTGAAAAGAGACTCCCGCCTCCTTAAAGATGAGTCCAACAGAGGGGAGGTGATGAGGGTCAGAGGGACCCACAATGCACCACTCAGACTCCCAACAGTCTCCTGTCAGGAGGGATGTGATGCAGAGAGACTTGTTCTGTTTGCTTTTATTAATCTATTTTCTGCTGTGTTGCTAATTTGATAGCTGAGAGAAAATAATTCCAGATATAATTATACATCTAATATGACTGTAACCGCATGCAGTAGGGATCTGACTCGTCCGGAAAAACTTATTTTAAGTTTTCTGCCACGTTACAGATTATATAAGCCTGCAGCTCCTCCTCGTCTCTGCAATATTAATGCAGGAAATGTACACAAAGCTTAAAGGAATAAGGTTGGCAACTTAGACTCTTGGCTGCACAGTTCAGTCGCAGAAACAGAACAGTTAATTGATTTCATAACGACAGCAAGCTGTTTGCAGTGTTAAAGGAGAACCGAGTGCCAGAGAATGCCATCTTTTGCTTTGATCTCTGCTCAGAATAAATGGGTTGGCATTTTTAAAGAGTGCATCTGCTGGTCAGACGAGGACGGTGCTGAGTTCAGAGCTCAAAGTGTTTGATTATAACATATTAACAAAGTATCTCTGAATGCATTTAAATCTGTGATGTTGAGCTTGAAGGTTCGTTTGTGATTTTAATTCATATTATCGACTTAAAGGTCCAGTGTGTAACATTTAGGAGGATCTATTGTCAGTAATGGAAATGTTTTCATTAGTGTATAATCACCGGAAAATAAGAATCACTGCGTTTTTATTAACAGAGGGAGCGAGTCCTCTTCTGGTGGAGTCCACCAGGTTTCTATGTGAAATATCCAAATCAAAGGAGCTGAAAATGTTTTGATAAAAGCAAAATGTGCTGCAGAGAAAACGAAAACAATCATTCCCATTAATTTTAATAATTTTGCGGGCCACCGTAGTTTCAGGAGGATGAGGGGAGGTTGTTGCAATTGGCTACTACAGTGCTAGATGGGTCAGGTTAATAGATAAGTGTAACAAAACGAGTAGTTTTATGTGTTTTTATTTTTAAAACCACAAACGGAAAACCCCAGAAAATTTCCGAATTTCTCATTTCAAAACAAAAATCCGTTGACAGCAAAGTTACGTTGACCTAGATGCCACTAAATCCGAAACACTGGTCCTTTAATAAGTATAATATATAGATTAATGAATATTATTACAGCTCTGTTACAAACACCACTATCAGTGAATCAGGAGGAGTTATAGTTATGGAAAATACATTAATTAACTCTTTAAAAGTCCTTATATTTGCCTACAGCAGGTTAAAATAAAGAATCAACCCCTGCTCCTTAAAATTAAAGCTGCAGCTTGAGGAGAACATGTTCTGCTAATAAAACAGAGAGAACGTATTTTAGTGTTCTGCGGCTGCGTTCCCGGGTCGGGTCATGAAACTCTTCATTGTCCCGCTCCGCTGCCAGCCCAGCCGGCTGGCCGACCGGCCGAGCGGTTTGTTTGTGTTGTGTTGTGTTTTGTTTGCCCCCTCGCCTCTGGGTGACAATTCACACTCTGCTGCGAGTTCAACTCCGGGGCAACGTCCCCGCAAGTTCATTAGCACGGCAGTAAATGTGTGTGTTCATCTGATGGTTTTACTGCACTCAGATTTGCTCCATTAGAGGAAAATTTGTGGCTTTTTTGGGATTCATATTCTTAATATTTGTGTGTTCAAGATGTTTCTTTGTATTTGTTTTCCTTTTGGCTGCTTCCAACATTGTGTATTTGTTCCTGAAAGCGTTACCTCTGCATGTACTTGCACTTCACTCCGACAAGGGAACAGATTGCCTTTTCACTAAGCGCTCGCAGGAAGCAATCAGACAGAAAATTGCCCCGGAAAATTGCTCGTTCTGAGTGACTGAGCAGTAAGTGAGGTCCACGGCCAGGGCGCACATATGCTCCAACAAGTCAGTGGACGAGCAGATAAATGGTGAGAGTGACCCTCTGAATGGATGGCACTGTGGCTGATGGTGACACGATAGTTGCCGGGTTATCGGGGCACTCTATCGCCGGTTCCTGGTAGAATTAAATGACAGCGGTTGTTTAGGAACACGGTGTGCTTCTGTTGCCAGACCTTTCAGAGGTAAACTGAAACCACCAGGGTGTGTTTTGACAATTTTTGTCTTGTTCACTCGGGGCGCTGTCAGACCAAGGAGGGTTGTAGCACTTTATTCAACTCTAGGCTCCTTTATTCTGTGAAATAGCTGGAATTCGACACCTGGAATCTGATTCTTTTAAACACAGTGTTGTTACTTAAGGAGTAAATAAGATTCATTCAGTTGAAAAGCTCCTAAAATAGGGTGCAAGGAGTCAGTTAGCAGCATGGAAGTCAATCTCAAAATTAGGTCAAAAGCACCCACAGGATCTAAAATTATGACTAATTTTCTCTTTTTCATCTCCACCCTCCAGATCTTCCGGTATCCAGGCCTCTGATCGTTCCAGGTTACCCAGAAAACACCACAGGGTTGGTGAGTGGTCAGGCGAAGCTGGTGTGTAAAGTCCACCGACCAGCATCCACAAAGGTGCAGTGGCTGAAGACAGAGGTCGGCGCCCCGGGACGCAGCCAGGGAGGACTCGTGCCTCGCGTCCGAGCTCTGACGGTAAGAACGAATCATGATCTGATCGCTCTGCTCGGGCTGGATACACCATATTTAAAAAAGTTAAAATGATCTCTCCTCCTCTGTGCAGGCCCTGCAGAGCAACGCGTCCAAGGTGAACACTTTGCACCTGTCCAACATCACTCTGGAGGACGCGGGCGAGTACATCTGCATGGCCGAGAGCATGCACGCAGGGCAGACGGTGCAGGCGATGCAGTCGGCGTGGCTGGAGGTCCTTCCTGGTGAGACATTGTCAACATTTTGGTGTTTCTTACTAGTTTTTGTGCCATTAACTTTTATCCAAGGTGCCCTGTGTGACTATCACTACAATTTAGCATCTATCTAAACACACTATTTTCTAACCTCAACTTTTCCCTTCAACAGGTACCATCATTTCCCGAACTGTGGATCTGACTGCTGCTGAAATCCCCTCAGGTACATTTTAGAAATGTCTTGAAATATTGACGCTCTAAAGCAACTTATACTGCTGTAAAAATGTAGGAAACAAGCATGTAAAACGCCATGTAAACGGCGGTGTCCTCCTCCCCAGGATGGAATGAACTTCTCTCCCTTCGCTTACATAGATCTCCAGTGAACCTTCACCGCCCCTCAGATTTACTCTCCGTCCACTGTCACGCTGCAACATGTTCATTAGCTTCAGTCCTCCACAATCCTTTTCTTCTTCTTTTTGGAGTGAGCATGATAGGGAGGGAGTCTGCAGGAGGGGGAGGGGGGGTGTGGAGGAGGGTTGGTTTGCTTAGGCCTCCTGGTCTCCATGGTAATTTCATTGTGTGTGTTTGTGTGGGGACGGGGGAGGAGATAATGGGGTTGAAGAGGTGAAGGTCATAGTTGAGGGGATGGCTACTTGCTTTAGAGGGATAAAGAAATGACCTGCTGACTGTCTGTAAGAAAGTATAAAAATAAAAATTGAGAAGAAGACGCGCTAACACCTCTTGCGCTGATGTTTCAACAGATGTTCTCGAGGACCTGAGTGAAGACACCACCGAACATCTTCTGTTGGAGCCGGGCAACGTCCTGAAACTGCGCTGCGACATGAGCACCCGACCCGGCATGGCGGTGAACTGGTACAAGGAGGGAGGTCGGGTTCTGCCCACGCCTCGCATCCAGATCCGCGGCGCCATCATGGAGATCACAGACGTCACCTACGAGGATTCAGGCGTTTATGTTTGTGTTCTCCGGGGAACCAAAGAGGCTGTGAGGAACTTCACCATCACTGTGGCAGGTAGGGACGCTGACATTGTTAACTAACAGTTTTTTTTAGCTAAACAGATGCTAAAATTATTCTTACAAATAGGTAAGGATCTCCAATATTGCTGCCAAAATGTATGTTAGATTAAATTTGAGCCAAAACAATGTTCAATTACTTGGTTTGTTCATTGAAAGAAAACTAATAACAAACAATTTGAATAACTGGTAAATCTTTAAACTAAACTTAATTTAGCAAATATGTCAAAAAGTCACTGGTTGCTGCTTTTCTGACTCCATATAACTGGTTTGACAAAGCAAGCGTGTACCTTTTTCATTAGGGCGTGAAATAGTTGGGTCAACTTGGGCTTCGGAGTGTTTTTTCATATTTCCTTAATTTAAAAAGTGTCATGTTTCCAGACTCGTTGGGGTCGGGGGACGATGACGAGGATAACGGTTTGGAGGACTCGTCAGCTGAGATCGAAAACGACCAGGTTTACTTCTCCAGAGGTGAGTTGCTGCTTGATTACTAGCTGCAATCGTTATAAATACTCAACCTCCAGGCTTCATCAGAGCATTCTGGTTCATTGGCTCGTCTTTGTCCATACAGGACCCTACTGGACCCACACCCAGCGTATGGAGAAGAAGCTGTATGCGGTTCCTGCAGGCAACACGGTGAAGTTTCGTTGTCCAGCTATGGGCAGCCCCATGCCAAGCATCCGCTGGCTCAAAAATGGACGTGAATTTAGGGGAGAGCACCGCATTGGGGGCATCAAGGTGAGGATGGCAGCAGTTTGTTAACCTCCTGATGATCTGAGAGCTTCAAGCGATACTTGAGTTCGGTCATTAGATGTCTAATCACACTGATTATTTTTTTTGCTAGCTGAGACACCAGCACTGGAGCCTGGTGATGGAGAGCGTTGTGCCGTCGGACAGAGGAAACTACACCTGCGTGGTGGAGAACAAGTACGGCTCCATCGCCCACAGCTACGTCCTCGACGTCCTGGGTAAGAAACCGATGATTCAGCGCTATATGGCAACGCCGAGTGTGTGCAAGTCTGTGGCCTTGTATCTTGTAGTTTTGAGGGTGTTTTTGTGTTTGGGCCTTATTTTTGTTTTGAACAACAAATTAAAAAGTTACGTCATAGATATGGGTTGAATTACTGACAGGGATTATTCTTTAAACCAGAATTTCAGTGCTTTGTGATCTGGCTGTGTGATCAGCAACAGTTCTTAGTAAAAGCATAATGACTTCAGATAAAAGCCTGCAGTCTCAGAGAGGGGATAACCAGGGGGGTTGAGCAGAAGGTGACAGGGGTGCCTGGCATCACCCGTTGTGAGCAGGATGTGGACGTTCAGGCGTCCACACCAGTTTTCTACCTGACCTGTGACGGGGGATTGAGAAGGGCTGCGGTTTGTTTGTTCATTTGTTCGCTGTCCATCCACCACGGGGTCAGTTTCCGTCCCCATCAACGGGGGGACATGACTAACGAGACAACTAACGAGATCAGAGAGCGAGAGTAACCACAGATCAAAGAGAGCCCGGCGGCCAGCTGACAAAGAGCCACGCTAATGGAACCGATTTCCTGCTCTTTTGCCAGCATACAAACACATTATAGGTGACAGCGACAACTGCTGGGCATTTTTTAGACATTTGTTTACAAAGCATTCATGTTTGCCAGCTGTTAAACAGCCAAAATATGTAGATGTTTTTGTCCTGCCTACATGGACTCCTGCTGAGAGGGGAATGAAGATTGGTAGATCAGTTAAATCTCTATCTCCATGTCCCCAAATCACCCAGAGAAGAAAATCTTTTAAACTCTGACTGATCTGGAGTTTAATTCTCATCTCTCCTCTGATTTCTGCAGAGCGTTCCCCACACAGACCCATCCTGCAGGCTGGACTACCAGCCAACACCACAGCAGTGGTGGGCAGTGACGTCCAGTTCCACTGTAAGGTCTACAGCGATGCCCAGCCTCACATTCAGTGGCTCAAACACATAGAAAGGAACGGCAGCCGCTACGGTTCTGATGGGACACCGTACGTTCAGATCCTCAAGGTTGGTAGCACATAACTGGTTCTACATCTACAAACTGATTTTCCATCATAAACACTACCATCATGATAAATGTATACTAACTTTTTATGTCACTTCTGTGTTGTGCAGACTGGCAGTCTGAACATGTCAGAGGTGGAGGTTCTCTACCTGTCCAAAGTTACCATGGAGGACGCAGGAGAGTACACCTGTCTGGCTGGAAATTCAATCGGATTTGCCCACCAGTCCGCCTGGCTCACCGTCATCTCAGGTAAAGAACAAACACAGCTCACTTACACTCGGACTTTGTTGGAATTTACTTATATGCTTGAACACTTGCACCACATTGACCCTAACCTTTTCACAAGGGTAGAAATATTTTTCCTAAAACCTGTCCCTTCTCTTCTTGTAGAGGAGGAAGCAGCAGTCGCTATGGACACCATGGAGACCAAGTACACCGACATCATCATCTACGCCTGTGGCTTCCTGGCTCTGATCATGGCCATTGTCATCGTGGTGTTGTGTCGAATGCAGGTCCATCCGAGGAGGGAGCCGTTTGACGCCCTCCCTGTCCAGAAGCTTTCCAAGTTTCCTCTTCGCAGACAGGTACATCATAAAGTCTCTAACATTTGAAAGTTTGTACGAAGAGTGATCCAACCACATTTGAAGTGTTTCAAACCTTCTGGTATGTTCCTGAAGGCTGATGACTAAAACCTCCGTTTCTGTATCTCTTCCTTCAGTACTCAGTGGAGTCCAACTCCTCAGGGAAGTCCAGTGCGTCTCTGATGAGGGTGGCTCGCCTCTCCTCCAGCTGCTCCCCAATGCTGGCTGGAGTCATGGAGTTTGAACTGCCCTACGACCCGGACTGGGAGTTCCCTAGGGAGAAGTAAGTTATCTGCAATTTAGAAACACTTCTGTGATCATTTGCAGAGTTGATATTTTGGAAATGAATTACACCTACTCTTACATTTTAAGTGATTATGAAAAGTTCTGCCCCTTGCAAATAGAGTATTTCTTCACTAAGTTTAGTTTGGCTTCTGGGATCCAGACTCATTTAAACATTGTAGCTCTCGCATCATGTGGGGACCTAAAAGGAAACAAGCCCGCAACCCATTTTTGGCTCTACCCAACCTGTGTTTGAGGAAACCAGAGCCCCAAATTATGGATTTGTACAGTTTTCATTTGGACATTCTTAACTTTCGCTGTTTCTCTCTCTAGTTTAACGTTGGGTAAACCTCTAGGAGAAGGCTGCTTTGGTCAGGTGGTCAGAGCGGAGGCCTACGGCATCAACAAGGACTGTCCGGATCCGGCCACCACTGTGGCGGTTAAGATGCTCAAAGGTAGGGAAGAAATGATACAGACACAAAAATACGAGCAGCCAGACGTCTGGTGTCTGTGTGGGGGAGGCGTGCTTTTCTAAATAAGATATATTTTCTCGCTCAGATGACGCCACAGACAAAGATCTGGCAGACCTCATCTCGGAGATGGAGCTGATGAAGGTGATGGACAAACACAAGAACATCATCAACCTGCTTGGAGTTTGCACACAGGATGGTGAGTTTCTGATTTAATCTTTGTTTGTTTTATTTCTGTCCAGCATTTGATCTGGATAAACTGATGGTCTTTAATGATCTTCTTCTCTCTTTAGCTGACAATTAGAGCAATTTTCTTCCTTGTTAACCCTAATTATGACACACACCCTTTTGTGGAGATAAAACAATGCCTTTCCTTTACCTACCTCCCAAAGACCCTTTTTATTGCAAATTGCAACAACCTAATTTAGTGAGTGTTTCAACTATGGTGGTCCAAAGCCTTCAGGCTAAAACAACAATAAAAACAATCCCTTCATCGTCCTTCAAACTGTTTGTTTTCCCCCCTCAGGCCCTCTGTATGTGCTGGTGGAGTACGCCTCCAAAGGCAGTCTGAGGGAGTACCTGCGCGCCCGGCGACCCCCAGGCATGGACTACACCTTTGATGTGACTAAGGTGCCTGAAGAGCAGCTCACCTTCAAAGACCTGCTGTCCTGTGCCTACCAGGTTGCCAGAGGGATGGAATACCTCGCCTCTAAAAGGGTATGTTCAACTCAAAGGGAGGAAATTACTTGTAGCAGGAGAAGAATCTGAGACGGTATCCGAATCTCTTTTTGGCAAGTCTTGGCAAGAGGAAGATTTGATTTATTGATCACTCAACTGATTTACTCTGTTTTATGGAATATCTTTGCATTTCATACTGTTGGTACTATAAAACAAGTCATTTGAAGATGTTCGATTGTGTTCGGGGAACTTTTACATTGCGAGCCTCTGCCTCCTGTGGGGATGCTTCCGTATCATCAGACCTCATCACAATAAAATGTATCCACAGGGCAGGAAATACAGCCACCAAATGAAACTTGGATAGTAAAATGCTCAACATTTGTACACTTTGTGAGCTGTATAAGCCCTGAATGGGCTGTAATAACCGCCATTTGGTGCTGACTTACAGGGAATTGTGATTAGGATTTGTGTAATTCAGTGTTTTTGGATTCAAGCACTTGGCCTTCAGACCAATGAGTTTGGTCCAGAAGGGTCTGGCAGCACCAGTCTTCCCCCCTCAGTTCTGATCTCTCTTGCCATCTTCTGTGTCTATCCCTTTTCTTTCTATCCCCCCCCCGAACCCCCCCATGTTTTTACTCCTTTCATTTACCCAGCATGCACTCTGTCTGTGTGCTTCTTATCAACACGTCTCTTTGTCTGCCAGCCGGTGTCTCAGACAGGCATTCCTGAACAGAGAGCTGCCGCAGCTTCGGCCCTGTTTGCTCTTCTCCATCCATCTGTCCGTCCCTCCGTAGCAGGGCTTTGTCCTTTTTAGCGCTGCCATAAATCTGTTAGCAAACAGGCAGCAGAGCCGTCGTCTGGGTGTAGGCATCAGGTTTCTGGCTCTACGGCCTCCTAAGAATGCAGGAGCCTGAAACTAACCCTCCATTATGGGGAGACCCACAAAACCGAGACTGGTTCATTTCGCACGTCCCCACAAATCCCACGTCTATTTCGAATGAAAACCAAAATAAACTTAATGACATCCATTCAATGTGGGCAAAAGGGGCCTTTCTTTTTTTCCTCCCAAAGGGTTGTTTTTACTTCAAACTGCCGGGTTTCTATATAAAGACATTTTAATTTTGTTGCATTCTCTAAAATGAGGCACCGTGTGTTGACTTTAGACTCCAGAGTCTTTTCATTTTTGGAGAAAATCGGCAGTGAATCATTTCTACCTCCGTGTTTTTAAGTGATCGCTCCAAAACCACAGCTGGAACAGACAAAAACGTGTCTAAATTCAATTTCATGAATGTAAAAACCTTCGACAATGAGGTTTTGTTCTAGTTTAGCTTTAGAGCTGTTGCATGTTTGTTCGTCCTGGGAGAGTGATCCCTCCTCTGTGGCTCTTCTTGAGGTTCCTTCCATTTCTTTCCTGTTAAAAGTTTTTTTTGGGCGGTTTTTACTCAAATCAGCATCTAGGAACATAGGGTGTTGAATGTATTTTGGGTTATATAAACACAATTTGACTTGACTCGTTCAAACTGTTCTACCAAGACTGTAAATTTATACTCCTGAGCCTTGTCAAAAAGGACATAAAAAATGACAAAAAAATTATGCATTCAGCCCATTCTCCAAATTAAACATTAAATCTCCGAGCCCATTAACCAGGACTATTTAAACATTATGCTAATCTTCTAATCTGGAGACCCAGCAGTTGGCCTTAAGCTGACTTTAGAGGTTTTGTGTCAGTCTTTAATTCTCTCTCTCTCTCTCTCTCTCTCTCTCTCTGCAGTGCATCCACAGAGATCTGGCAGCCAGAAACGTTCTGGTGACGGAGGACAACGTGATGAAGATCGCCGACTTTGGCCTGGCCAGAGGAGTCCACCAGATCGACTACTACAAGAAAACCACCAACGTGAGTGACGCTTTCTAGCGGCTTATTTTCAGGAATAACCTTTTGCTGCTGTAGCTTTCAGAATCAGAAATACTTTAATAATCCCAGGGGGAAATTTCGGGTGGAGATCTTAGTTTTTTCCAACAAATGAGAGTTAAATGAGAAGCTCAAATATTTGTGCATGTAAAATATTTGTTACGAAATAGACTTAAATGTCAAACAAGTAGAACATCAGACATAAAGAGGTTCTCAAAGTGATCAATAAGATATCCTGTTGATATCAATCAAACAAACTTCACGTCAAGACATTTGGATTGCTAAAAGGTTAAAGTTGAAACTGGTTGTTTGTACCTTCTCCTCAGGCAGGTTCCTCCTCCTGCTTGGCTTCAATATTCCTCAAGACAGATGTCTGATGTTTTCCTCTGATTGGCAGCAGGCTTAATGGGACTTAATTAGAAAAGAGGGGAGACAAGGAGGGGGGAGGGGGGAGGATGGTGAGGAAGGAATGAGCCGAGCGTGCAGCGACAAGAGAGGCAGAATTTGGTAGAAAAAAAACTTGTAGAGCGAAACAGGAAGAGAAATTTGCTGCTGTGGTGAATGATGATCTAACGTGTTCGTGTTCGCTCTGCAGGGACGGCTGCCGGTGAAGTGGATGGCACCAGAGGCGTTGTTTGACCGAGTGTACACGCACCAGAGCGACGTGTAAGTTCAACTTCTCATACAGAAACAAACAAAAGTGCACAACAACGCAACACAGAAAAAAACTACACACAATTCAAACATCTTTTGATCTTGTCAGTTGACCCTTTCTAAGTCACGCCCCTTTTTGCTCTGTGCTCCAATAAAAGTGGAGCAAGCCTTGGTCAACTTCCTGCTTTCCTGTAGATATGCTATATGCTAAGCTAATCTGTGTTTAAAAGACCACCACATTAACTAGTTAGTTAGTTAAAAAGTAAATAAATGTGTTCTGATAAATAAATATAAATATCGTCTTCCCTCTCCTTTCGTCCGTGCTCAGGTGGTCGTTTGGCGTTCTGATGTGGGAAATCTTCACGCTGGGCGGCTCACCGTACCCTGGTATCCCTGTCGAGGAGCTCTTCAAGCTGCTGAAGGAAGGACACCGAATGGACAAACCCTCCAACTGCACACATGAACTGTAAGCAGGAAGTCCGATATAGTCTTTATACTGAAGTCACAGACTGTCTGGATTAGTTGAAATAATTGCTCTGTTTTTATCCTCGTAGCTACATGATGATGCGCGAGTGCTGGCACGCTGTCCCCACCCAGAGACCGACCTTCAAACAGCTGGTGGAGGAGCTGGACAAAGTGCTGCTGTCCATCTCCGACGAGGTAGGCGCCGAACACACACACACACACACACACACACACACACACACACATCCCTCCTATGAAAT